TTGAACTAAAAGAGGGAGACACTGTGATTGGATAAAAGCATGTGTATTTGAACAGTTGAACCCCCGATGCATGCTAACAGAATTTCAAGATGTAGTCCAACACATATCGACCGCGTGCGATGACACAAAGTTCAAACTTATAGGACAGCAAGATACCTTGTGGCAAAAGATCCTGAAATCAGCAAAATCCAACTCGCCAGAATTGACAAGAAAGAAGAAAGAGAATACCAAAATGCATGAAGACATATATATATATATATTGCAGTTTATTGACCAATAGTCAATCTTTATTGTGTTCACGCAACCGCAAAACTGTTTACCTTACCGCAACAACGACCAAACTGTTGTATTCATACAGTAATTGTAATAATAGTAGTAGTATTAGTAGTGCGCACTGAACGCGAAATGCGAGTTACGGAATACGGATCACGGATTAGCAATCATGGACGAGGCGTAAGCAGTGAACCACACTGGTACTTGCACGCAATGTCCCATGTAACCGAGAAGCGAAGACAAGGTTAGAGAAGTAGTAGTTCGTTTATTGAAAGAAATAAAGGGGATTATATAATATGTACAAAACAAACTCATTGGTATCCGGGCCTCAGCCAGTCACGTTCTATTATTTCTGCCGTTGTTCTGCTGTTGTCTGGGCCGCACGGGTTCTTATTATTGTCTGGTGCGATTGACCTATGACATGTAATCCAGAAGCTGCGGCAAGCACGCGCTTTGCTGACATCACCCGTGAATATTGATTGATTACAGTTTTCCTAAAACTGTAGCGCGTCGCTCCAGGGTATGCATTATCTCGCAGGCTGTGGTCACCACAATTAACCACTCGACCCTTCACAGACAACTGGATGCCGTGACGATGCCACGGATGTGTCAGATTGCCAACCGAGCCTTTCAGGGTTGACACTTCATCTGGGATGCGTCCCACTAGGTGAAGTGTAGCTGGCTCAGTAGGAGATTTCATCTGCATTCTCCATTAAGGTTTGTAAACCGACGAACTCAAACCTGTTCCCATATTTTGCACCCTGAAGGTGAGGAATGCATATCAGATATATACTTAAAATACAAAGATCTAGTATCGTACGGCCAATATTTCCACAGCAGTACAATATGGTATGCATACTCCAGATGCGATAATTTTCCGCGTGAGATCATAAAGATGCAGCTATTCCTGCGCTGGGTANCGCTGGGTAGAGATGTTTGCGGAATCAAATCCCTTACAAACTATGATGGAAGATAAAAGAGTAGTTAACCCTGACTAACACCACTTTTCTTGATGAACGTGGGCAAAAGAAAGCCGTAACCTCAAAATCCGCTTCGGTTCTTGGTTAAAGGGGTTTCCAATATTGAAACAAACTTCTCTAGTGGCATCAGAGTACGAAGCGGTTGCACTGAATTGTTACAATCCTCTTTGCAGATTGTTTATCGGACATAGGCAGAATTCGGCTCATGTCAGGATCAGAGTTGGCATCCACGGGAGTTTTTCACGGGGAGCAATAGTTTTGAATGAATCTTCATCAGTACCTGGTCATGGCAGTGTGATCGATTTGAGGCTGCCTGTGAGTAGAGTAAGGGATTTTAGTAAGGCATTAGAAGTTTGTGCTTGATTGGTAAAGGTGCTGGGTTTGCGCAAGGTTACATTGGGCCAGTTCCGTTATCCATCCGGTTGACTGGTATTGAATATGATAAGCAGCCTAGGTACTACTCCGATTCCTCACTTGAGCGGCAAGGTCATTAGTGACTGATACGGTATATAATAAACGAACAATATGTATCGCCTGATAGCGATCACTGTAGAAAGCATCCTTCATTTTAACTGCACTACAATCGGTTGACTCTTAGAGGGACACGAAGAATGAGTAGCAACGATTTGTTCTTTTTGCTGTTGAACTGCAATGAACCATTGAGGTATGCAGTGCGTGCAGTGAGTTACTTACTGAAGTCCAATCAAGAAGCAGGCGCTTAGTCTTGACACAGAGCCGGGGACAACCAAGTGAAAACAGCTTTTGAGTTTTGTCATACATTCGCCTGTGATTGGCCTACCTTAATGGGCAAGGTCCTAGTGAGCGTTTTCAGGATTACGAATGGAGTCGTTTTATACTGTCTAATTTTTGCATTCTGTAGTATAAAATATAGACAACTAAGTCAAGTCAGGCAAGAGGTTGATAACAGCTTATAAATGCACATTGATCAACCGTTAATAAAGATGAGCTTGCACCGCGTGAGGTCAAGTAGACAGATAGATAGAGAGACGGATAGACAGACAGACAGACAGACAGACAAACAGACAGACAGACAGACAGACAGACAGATATAGATAGATGGATGGATAGATAGATAGATGGATAGATAGATAGATAGATAGATAGATAGAGAGTGTGCATACCTTTTGTACGGCTTCCTCAGTGATACGATCAATTCCGACCCGGGCCGAATCGAATGGGGTTAGGATGGCTGTCAGGTTGAAATTGAACTGCTCGACCATCACTTGCAATGTAATGCTGGGATTTGCATTCACCTTGGTCGGGTCGAAGGTAAAACGTAGCTGTTCGGCATTGGACTTGATATGAACACACAGGAGGACAATGGTGGTCACCATTTTGCAAACGGAGAGCATCGAGGCGGCGTTGGAGGAGGCCAATAGGGAAAAGAGAATTAAGTAAGTGAATAATTAACACAGAAACGATGTTGGCCAATCACTCAGTCAGGGTGCATTTGATCACTTTAAACGATCCGACACCTTTGGGTAAAGTGAAGTAGTAGCTCTTTCCCATTTGGCCTATCAGGGAGCATATTATTAAATCTAGTTGGTTTATGGAAATAGCAGCATATTTGCTGGAGGAAATCGTAAAATAAGTACGAATTTGAACAAAACTTTGTCCGCATAAGACCTAAACACAAATCGATTAGGGCACGTGTCTGTGAATAGCAATTTGTTTGTGTTGGTTGGCTTGGCTGTGTGTATATACTAGTCCTGATAACGTGTCAACAGCCATCGATGTGATCCTAAACTAGGATGGTTATGCTGTCTGGTAGTAGTTTTGTTACCTTACGTCAACGGTTTGCTAGATTTGATTTATTTCATTCAGAGTCAATGTATCTTTCATTACTGATTGATGTTATCCGTTACAACTGTACGCCCCTGATTTACGAAGAATACAACTCACTGCACTGGAACGGGCTGATTGTAATTGTTTCAAGACGATTTACTCGGTCAACATTTTAGGCACAGATCAATAAAACATCGGATCTGTCAATAATGACGAAGTCGATAGTAGGCCGACCAGTCATGTGTCATCTGATGCAAGTGTGCTGCGGCAGAATTTGAATTTTCACCACACTATCTTTATGTAGTCTGAGAGCAACTCCGTGTCTGTCAAGTTTCGAATACCCGTGGGTTCGACAGATATAGAATGCTGATGATTCTTCATTCAGTTATAAATTACTTCAAAGATATGCCACTTTTGAACTGTAGGCTCATGCTATTGTTATTATTATCAGTAGAAATTATTAGCAGTTGTGAATTAATAATTACCTTTATACAGTATTCGATTTCGATAAAACACCACGGGTTGTTGAAACGTGAAAAGAACCACCACGAAGCATCCCTAACTTTTAAATAAATAAATAAACTTACCAATTGTTGCAGACATGTGTTATACTGAACACTGCCTCTGAGTTGGTTACAAAGATCTCGGAAGGCTCGAACAAGCAAATCGGTGTAGGCACTGAGCTCACCAGAATAGCTAGACAGCATTTTCTTCACCGATTCATGATTGGCTCGTATGTAAGCCGTGTCAGCAAGCAGATTATTCACACTGGGCTTGAGATCGTCCACAATGAGGAACAGCTTGGCGATATTGTAAGCAGTCAAAAGCTGATTGATAATACCGTTGGCTGTCACAATCAATTGTTCCTGGAATGGAGGAATATATATGAATAAATAGGTAAACATTGACCGGGCTTGTAAAATGATACTATATAATAGTTTCAGCAAAACTGGATCTGCTTACTCAGTTAAAATATTTTCTTTGCTCAATCGGTGAACTTGATTTCGGACTTCCTGTGAGTGAAATTTATCCAACTTCATGTGTTGTCTTAATTACATCGTTTGTGATATATTGCAGAGCCATCTAATTAACTGAGTTTGAAACCCACCACCAAAGTAATGTAAATTTGACCGTCCATCGATAGGTTGGGTTTGTGTTTCGGAATGGCCAGAGCCTCGGATTAATTCAGTGATTTCGTGCTTGTTCTTTGGAGCACTTCAACACCAACATTCTCTATTCTGTGCAAGTTGTCACACTTGATAATCATTTTCACTTTACATCACAGGGGTATTATAGACAACTTTTAGTGCTGTAAAATGGGAGATTTCAGTTCCCCAGGGAAATTAAAAAAATGAAGATAATTGCTTTATTCTCTTATTCACTTGAAGTTACAACGGATTCACTTGAAGTAGAAACGGTATAGACTCATTATTTCTCGATAACGCAAGGCTATACTATCTGCATCAATTTCGTTCAACTTGGGTATTTATCATTTTCCTATTGTACTACTACTACTCATGAGTAGCATAAAACGACAGATGTAAAAACAAACCAATTGGTCCACTTTCATGATGCCAACATTTACAATGAATATGATGGTCAGTTATGCGTAAAAGCCTTACAGTGTAAGGAATAAATGGATCTTTCCTTAAGGTTATAAGTTATGAAGCAGCCACAAAGGTTTCTCAGAAACTGGAATAAATGCGTTTCCTTTTTATCTCAGGCATACGGTAAAATAATCAATTAACCAAACAAAATGAATTGAACGAGACCTGCTCCAGCAGCATCGCGAAACAACTTCATCAAAAGCATCGTGGAGATCCGATCGTATAGTAACAGAAAATGAGAGCTATCACTTTAGACTAGCACATATTTTCAGTCGGCGAGTCCTATGAAATTTCACTTACCAGTCATAACCTAATGCCCGTTCGCAAGAAACCTCCGAACTCAAAACAGAACGACGAAATGTTTTATCCATTCACTACGAAATGAACTCAAATCTATTTAGAAAAGTTAAAAAACTTCCGTGCTTGAAGTTTGCGAGGAAATCGAACTTTAACGTAGACCCGTTAGGAAAACAAACAATGAAAATTGCCAACAGGCTGTGCGAATGATTTAATTACGAGATCACATATGACCTCGAATATGGCACAATTTCCGTTGAGTTGTATCGTGCGCTTTGCCCGCTGTACATCTTATCACTGCAGGTCACATAAAAACTATCCACACTCGTACCGAGTTTGTTCTCAATCCGATCTCGCTCTGGGAAACGTTGCAATAAGCTCGATCTATAGAATTGGTGAACGCGTCGTCGCTCAGCCCGTCCTAGGTGCTAAGTTGGTGAGCCCGACGTGATTTTGGTTAACCCGTCTTTCTTTCAGCACGCCACGGGCCGAAACTTTTCAGTGAGTCAGGCACACCGGCACAACAATTTATTTTCATTTGTTATTTCGTGTTTACTGATATTATTTTCATTTTTAACGGTTTTACTATACCTATTTATTTCCTTTTTACCATTATACCGAATTTTACTCACGAAATCCTATATATTTGAATATTTATCACACTCTATAGCTGCTTTCGTCGTTAGATATATACATATTCATACGTATACACCACATCTGTACTCTAAGGCTCACCGTTTTCCTGGTTTCTATCTATCGATTTGCCATTTATCTATTTTTTTGAATTCATACCTGCGCCATAATGTTCAATCAATTCTCAGAGGATAAAGAGAGCGGTCCCACTACCGTTGTGGAGGAAGCGGGGAGAGGGAATGCTCCTAAGTGTGACCAGTCACCCGGAATTTGAATGAGTATTCAGTTTTTTCTCTCTATCATGTGATAATGTCCTCATTGGAAGAGTTGTTGGAAGAAGTGCAAATTCATCCATTTTTAATTATCGCATCTAACTGGTCCTTTACATGTGATGGAACCATCTCTGAGATGACCGCCAAAGAGCACTGGACACCTGTTTCGTTCTGATTTGATCTCATCGTCGAACTAGAACTTTTTCAACAGATCCAACAGCAACCCGTGTTCGAGTGAATCAAACATCCTCATATGAGGTTATACGGTGTGCCAACACTTCAGATGAGCTAACTGCAACTCATCAATCTCTGGTTAAGAATTTAACAAAGATTTAAAAAAATAACAGTCATCCGAATTTTGTGAATAGAAGCCAATAAGCAGCAGTGTTCGCTGACAGACTGCCACAAGTGTCCGCATTCGTTCATGTCAGGTTACAAGCGGACTGCCTCTCATTGAAAATGACATTTGAAAAATAAGCCTCACTTAGTGGTTTAGGTCGGTCCCGATGTGAGCTAGGTGGTGCATGGGTGGTAGCAGACACACGCACGTGTTTCTCATACAGGATTTCATCTGGGGATTTGAACCACTGGAGTGTGTACGCACTACCGGTGATCGTCCACACGGGGTGTAACTCAAACCCCGATATCTGTGTCAGTGAAGAGTTTGGATAGATTTACTGATGATTTTAGATTATAATGAACTGTGATTAGTGGTCAGTCAAAATTGAGCAAGAAATGTGTTAACGATAAACCCGCGGTGTTCCGGTTTCGGATTTTGAAAATGCATCACCCCAAAGAGCACTGGACAGCTGTTTTGTCCTATCTTGGGACTCGTCAGTAGGACATATCTTATGGGTCCCTGGTAGGATTCAAACCGCGAAGGTTCGGGTGGGTACTTCAAACTCTAACCCTTGAGCTACATGGTCGACGGTCACCTTGTGCGAATGGCTCAATCAATATTAGAGTAGCAAGCGTGGATTGGTGCCGGGTGCCTTTTAATAATCGAGTGGGCTAATCCCAACTTGCTACTCTGAATATTTTTAAATTGTTTGAGAATCGTGTCACAGGTGTTTCATCAACACCTTCGAGAAACGGATTCCGGTGGCGTCGATGGAAAAGTGAAAGCTGATCGCGCTACAGAAAACAAGGTAAGTGGACGAGCATAACTAGCGAGAAGACGGAAGAACGCCACTGTTTATGATATTCAACTGTAATGTTACGCCTTGCACAAGGTGCTTCTGTGAAGGTGAGATATCGCGCCCCGGAGCCAGACAAATCGCAGACAGACAAACACACCGTTTTAGTCTTGATTACTCGATCGGATATCATCTCCTGGCTCACACGTCCACGTCGGTCCATCTACTCCCTGAGGTGAGATGAAGCGTTTGCTCACTTCCAGAGTGTCACTACTACCGAACAGAAGTGCAGGTGCACGTCTTTGGAGCTTGCAGTCTAAAAGTGCAAAACAAGTCATACAGAACACCTTCCGTTTTTCTGTTTAATCCATCTCACATTGCTCTTGCACTTTGTCATTAAGAAAAACAGAATCATCAAAAGCCTACTCCAACTTAACGTCCAGGAACAAGTTCGTTACACTTCTTGCAGCACATCATCTATGATGAAGTTACAGCAGCAGAAAGGCGGGATAACCCTGTCATAAATCACGAGCGTCAAATTTGACCATCAGCTCTAACATTCTCCGAGAGCTGATCGTAGAGTAGTACTCTTAGGACCTGAACACAGTTCTCCGGAACTTCATACATGAGCACACACTTCTATAAGGTGGATATCTATATAAAGTTGTGGATGGAGTTTTTAGATGCTCTGACAAAATGCTGTCAATGTGACTTCTCCCCTAGGACGTAGCGATCATGCAGTACTTACATTCAAATAC